TTCGTCAGCGCTCTACAATCCCCCAGTGATGCTGAGATCCGCACGCGGCTTTTAGCTAAGCTGGATCAGGATCCTGATCTGACACTGAAGGCCCTCGTAAGCGAATGCAAACGGCTGCTCACTCTAAAACACGACACTGCCATGGTCGAACGGAATAGTCTCGCACCACCAGATACCGTGCAATTCGTGAAAATGGCCAGGACTGTCAGTTCAAGCAAGCACTTCAAGAGGCCTACGAACAAACCGACAACAGCATGCTGGTCATGCGGCGAATGGCATTTCGCGCGCTTTTGTCCCTTTAAACGTCATATTTGTCAAACGTGTCATAAGCGTAGGCATAAGGATGAATTCTGCAATCAGGTCCGGTCGAAGAAAGTGAAAGTCTTATCGAAGGGGGAATTCTAGGAAGGATGGCGCAAAGTCTCTGACCATAGTTGCCGCATTCCAAAGTGAGTGTAAACCGAGACGACGATTCATCACTGTGTTGATCAATGGGATCCCAACGAAACTGCAATTCGACACGGCCTCGGACATCACGATTATTTCCAGGAGCACATGGAAGCACATAAAGAGGCCGAAGATGGTCGAGTCTCAGAAAGTTGCACAAAATGAATCCGGCGGTGTGTTAAACTTGGTGGGCGAACTTACTTATGAGATTGCTTTCAAAGGTGTGGAAAAGTCGGAAACGTACTACATTTCAGACCGGCCGAATTTGAATCTTCTTGGCCTCGACTGGATTGAAAAGTTGCAACTCCTCGATGTTCCCTTGAATCAGATCTGCAACCGAGTTCGAGCAAGTCCAGACCCATCATCAAAGTCCGTCGAAGACATGACACGTACTCCTGAAACGGAAATTTGCCTCTGTCTTTCAGAATAGCTTGGGCCATTGCACGAAATTCAAGGCAACGCTGAGCTTGCGACCAGGTGCTAAACCAGGGTTCAGGGTCTAAAAGACCAGTACTATATGTAGCCATGTCAACCGTTGATCAAGAACTCGATCGACTGGAAGGTGCCGGCGTCATCACAGCCCTCAACGACTCATCATGGGCCGCACCTATTGTCGCAGTGAAGAAGGCAAACGGCAAGGTACGCATCTGCGCAGACTTCTCAACTGGCCTTAACGCCGCGCTGGACGACCACCAGTACCCATTACCTGTACCGGAAGATATCTTTGCAAAACTGAATGGTGGTAAGTGCTTTGCTAAACCTGATCTATCTGATGCCTACCTACAAGTGGATGTTGACGAAGTCTCGTGGAAGTTGTTAACGATCAACACTCGTTGTGGACTATTCCAATACAACCGCTTGCTCCTTGGTGTAAGAACGGCGCCAACCATTTTCCAACAGTTAATGGATACCATGCTAGCGGGCGTTTCTGGAAGCGCTGCATATCTGGACGATATCACAGTGATGGGTCGAACAACGGAAGAGCTAGTTAACCACTTGGATGAAGTGCTTGGTTGTATACAGTCGTACGGTTTCCGGATCCGTGAGGATAAATGCACATTTTTCACGCCGATCATCAAATACCTCGGTTTTATCCTCGGAAAGGATGGACGTCGACCAGATCCGGAAAATGTAGAAGCCATTAGAAAAATGCCTCCACCAACAGATCTACAGCCCTTGCGTTCCTTTTGTGGGCTCATCAGCCACTACAGCGCATTTTTGTCTGAGATGAACCGCCTGCGTGCCTCAGTAAACAAGCTACTAGCCAAAGGCCAAACTTGGAACTGGACATCAGAATGCCGGAATGCCTTCGAACGGGTCAAGACATTGCTGTCCTCAAACTTGCTTTTGATCTCCCCAAAGAGATTGTCCTAACCACAGATGCATCAAGCCATGGGATTTGCGCAGTAATTTCACACACGTAGACCGATGGATCTCAGAAAGTAATCACACATGCCACCAGAATACTTAGCAAGGCCGAGAGGAATTACAGCCAGATTGAGAAAGAAGCATTGAACATGGTGTACGCCGACAAGAAATTCCACAAAACGCTATACGGTCGCCGCTTCAAGCTTCTGACAGATCGCAAGCCCTTGTTGGCTATCTTTGGTTCGATAAAGGGCATCCCGGCATACACATCCAGCCGCCTACAACGTTGGGCTCTTACTTTAATGGGGTATGATTTCGAGATCCACTACCAGTCGACAATTTCCATTAGGCAAGCGGATGTAATGTCAGGTTTAAATGATGCCCATCAGCAAGAACATGAGGACACAATCAATGCCTCGGTCGAGATCGAAACTCAGGTCAATTATCTGGTAATTGATGCATTGCACGGTCTACCAATTATCGCAGAACTTGTATGAACCGAAACGCTTCGGGACCCAGTACTCAAGAAAGTTACACAGTTTCACAAAACAAGTTAGCCACGTTCATGTGCATCTGTCGAGTTGCAACAGTACTTCCAGAGGAGACACTCGCTCTCTATTGTGAACGACTGCATAATATTTTCCGAAAGGGTGGTCATCCCCAAGGCACTTCAGGAGCGCGTTATTCAGCAGTTCCACGCCGGACATGCTGGGATCAACCGGATGAAGGCGCCTGCCCGCAGTTATGTATACTGGCCCTTCATGAACAAACAGCTAGAAGAAATAGCTAAACGCTGCCAAAAGTGCGCCAATGTCTTGAAATCGCCATAAAAATCAGAGCTCTATTCATGGCCAAAAGCTACTAAGCCATGGTGCCGCATCCATGTCGACTTTGCAGGACCGATCAACGGCAGAAGTATCCTCATTATAGTCGACTCATACAGCAAGTGGCCTGAAGTATTTCTCATGGATAGCACAACCACCAATGCCACTGTATCAAAACTGCGCCAAACCTGTAGCAGATGCGGATGTCCTGAGACAATTGTAACTGACAATGGCACACAATTCACTTCGGCAACTTTTACGGAGTTCTGCAAGCAATGCGCCGTTCAGCACATTCGCTCGCCGCCGTTTCACCCAAAGTCGAATGGCCAGGCAGAAAGGTTTGTCGATACGTTCAAGCGAGCTCTCCACAAATCAAAAGGGGAGGGACGTATAGAGGAGGTGGTTGACCGGTTCCTTTTTCTCTATCGATCAACACCGAATCCACAAGCGTCGGACGGAGTTTCTCCAGCACATGCTATGATGAACCGGAAGCTCCGCATGCCTTTCGACGCCATCCGACCGCGCTCAGAGTCCTCTGTTGGTGAAAGAAACCGCAGAATGGAACAGGATTTTAACCGGCGACATGGAGCAAAGAAGCGATCGTTTAAGCTTGGACAGAAAGTGCTAGTACGTGACTATCGGGAAGGCCACGCGAAATGGACGCCAGGGACGGTCAAAAGCAAACGCGGAAACGTCATGTATGACGTGATCGTGGGCGCACAGATCTGGGCACGGCATGCAAACCAGTTACGGCCCACACTGTGCCAACTAGAACAAGCAAGGCCTATCGACTTCCCGTTCGATTTATTGGTGGAAAGCTTCAACTTGCCGAAGGAAGCAGTGGACGACTGCACACAGTCGAGCAAAGAATCCAGAACACGGACATCGGAACACAGTTCTCGGGCACTTCTGCCAAGGAGATGGACCGACAGGCAGAGAACACCGTCCCGAAGACTGCAAGTTAATCCTAGGCTTTCGTCGTATACCTCGGACGATATCTCAGGAGGGGTGTCCGGGAGAAAGTAAGAATTGCCTAGAAAATCCACTATTTTAGCGATTAATCGATTATTAACGATTATCGCATCGATTTCGAACGTTCTGGAATGTTCTAGTTTCTGCACGTGACTAAAAACCACCTGACACCTCGGCAAAAGCTATGGGGAACTACTAACCTTGGTAGCTGATCTGCCAATTCTAGAAGTCGAAGGTCAGTAAGAGACCTATAAATACAGCCAAGGTCCGCGGTAGTTGTAGTGTTTGTTGACGGCGATTAATACGTTATTTTGTCAAGGTCATTGGCATTCTGCTTTTTCCTTCGGTTGGGCTAGAAATTTTGTGGAGCAGTAAAGTGTCAATTTCGGAATCGCGTCTAGTGAGAAGAAGCCACTCAAAGTATACAACCGACAAAATGGAGAGTATGCTAACGGTAAACCGCAGGGTTAGTGGAATTAGATGACAGAATAGTATAACATCGATGTGCAACCCACAGTTTCGGATACGATATGCCAGCGCAGAGTAGGAATGAGTAGCTAAGTAATGAGTTAAAGGAAACACACTGCCGATGATTTCGTGAGAACGGCCAAACGAGGCTTAAAAGCAAATACATACAGAACCCTCCAAATCGCCTCTGAAGTTCAGAATACCTACTGTGGCTATCCACTCCGTTGTTGGTCGTGATTAAAGCATTTATGCATCTGACATTTCACCAATCGCCTTGGATATCCGCCAGCTACCAAGCTTCTCATTGCCACTACTTGGGCAAATTCTCTACCTTCTTCCTCCGTGCACAGAACGCACACTGTGAAACAGTGAAGAGGCAATTCCCGCATGAACTTGCCTTGGGCTGCCAGAGTTATTGCTAAGTACACCACCCGTGTAGTTTTCAGCGTTCCCTCGTTCCGGTGGACAAGAGTTCCACCGCCAATAGAGTTCAAGTTAAGAAGCGCACCTTGTTTTCGGAATGCGGGTTTAGGTAATTGGACACACCGCACCTCGGTGTATTGTTCAGTTGATAAACTGAACTGAATTGATTGCTGGTAGAAAGTGGAAGTCACGATTAAAATTGAATTGATTGTGATTGATATTACTGAAGGATTAGGCTTGAGATGGAGTAGCAAGGCAAGAAGCAACGCAGAAGTAAGGTATGATGCTATAACAATAATTCGATGTGGTTGACTCGAGTAGTTCATTGGATGGATGCATGACATGGTATGATATTGTAGTGTCTCCTGTTCCTCGACCTACTACGCAGTGAAAGACCGAAAAAAATCACAGATAAACTACTATTGTTTTGCTAGACGCTAGTAAAATGATACCTACATCAGAACCAAAGCATGAAATAGGCCACGAAAGTAGACTCACCAAATAAAGCTGCTTTTTGTTCCGGTTGATGATTACTATTTTCGCATGAGAATTGAGAACGCGACCATAGTCCAGCCGAAAATCGCAGACAGAGCCTGAGATAGAAACAGATCAAGCATTATGTGGGAGTCACACAAACCTGCATGGATGCCACAAAAAGAGGCCAGATTCCAAAATATCGAACGCAGAAATTGGCCCCATAATTAAGAAATGGGAAATGAATCTGTGCGTCTACCCAGCGACGAAGGTAACTGGGGTACTCACTTGGTTTTAGCATCGGATTTCTCAAGAATAACATCATACCCAAATTCTCGCAGTCAAGTTCCTAGTGTGCTCCCTATATCTAGGAAGGGATGGCCTACAGCCCGGACAAAGGTTTCTCAGGCACCGGATCTAACTAACAACTAGACATCCGAGTGAAATTCGACCACATGAATCAAATGAGTTTGGATTTGTTGGACCGCTGTGACACAGGGTGGATACTACGGACTTTTCAATAAGGTCCCTGAAGTTAAGTAAGTAGACGATGAGAGTACAATGAGAGATTCGTACGTTTGAAGGTTTGATGTCCAAACATGGCAAGTCCAATGGTCGTATCGACAGGCTGGTATTCGTCAAAAACTGACGGGCAAGGCATCAAGTGTAAATGAGTGGGCAGTATTAGAATATGATATGAATATCACTATCGATAGAAAACATGCTACTGCTGGCGTCTGTTAGGTCTCGAACGGCCTGCTCCGAGGAAGGTACGTGCGCAATTCCCCCAAGTAACCTTGTGCCTTGTATCAGAACAGTCTCAGATATAGACTGGTGTTTATTCGTGTTGCAGAACATTTGATACTATCGCTTGTTTCATACCACATACACGTTCCGTGATTCTTTGAGATCGATAAATTCTAACTAGAACACAGCCGTGATTTTAACTATATCGGTGTGTTTGCAGACCCACGTCGGCCCGTTCGGTGACTCGAAAATATACTTCTCGTCCGGTGGGTTGTCTTTTGACTCGCGTGGCGCAATCTAAGAAACTGTTAAGTCGAACCCCTGAGGACACAACAGCGCCTCCCTTCTTCTTTTCCACCTTTTTCTCTTACATTCTGACCCCCATTGTTAACCTTCCTTCTATAATCCCCAGCTTAATGGCAGCAATCGAAGTGTCACTGGAGTAGAACTAACTGCAGCTACCATCCCACAACACCTAGCGGACGCCTATCGGCAACAGTCCTTTATAAGGGCACGCTGTCCAGTTTCCATAGCGACATTTAACGTTCGCACTCTAAGACAAACAGGTCAACAGGCTGCACTCGCACGCACCTTGAACACACTGCGTATTGATGTGTGTTGTATGTCCGAAACTAGGATCAATGACCCTTATGGGGGTTTTGAATTAATTTCATCCAACTTATCCTCTCATTATTGGTTGCACGCATCCGAAGACGCCGATGCAGCACTCATGGGTCAAGCTGGTGTAGTTATCATTCTCAGCTCCAAAGCTGTGCCATCGTTGGTTGATTGCATTCCGGAGAACAGCCGCTTGTGTCCAGCCTGTTTGACGACATCAGCTAAGGTGGATTCACGAAGTAGTACAAAACGCTGTTTGTTTGTGATTTCCGCTTATGCTCTCATCGACTGCAGTTCTAATGCAGTCAAGGACACACTCCATCACGAATTGAATGCGCTACTACGCAGTGCTACAAGTTCAGACATTATAGTAGTTGCAGGGCACAAGTAGGGCATCTGAGCTCTTCAGAAGCTCAGCTGGGTGGTAATTATGGGCTTAATTCCGAACGGACTAACAACGGCGAGCGTATGCTGCAACTGTGTGCGGATCACCAGTCGTTTCTTAGTAGCACTGCTTTTAGACACTGTAGGCGCCGAAGTGCCACCTGGCTTCTCCCGTAGCTGGCCAGCGATGGAGCCAAATTGACCACAGAGCCATAAGTGACAGGTGGTGGGGTTCTATGCTGGACTGCCGCTCGTACTGGAATGCCTGTGCCGAATCTGATAATGCATTAGTACGCTGTCGTTTCTCCATGAACTTTACCGGGAGGCACATCAAGCGTCTCATCCGAGCGGCAAATGCGAAATTGTCTCAGCCCTCGGTCAGGCAAACCTATCAAGACGCACTGCGTACCGAACTCTCGCTGTCTTGTCCTACTAACACTGAGCTTCAGTGGAACAGGATCTCGGTCGCCATACACGAAGCTGGAGTATCTGCTTGTGGCACAATCAATCGTCACCGCACCAGTCGATGGATATCCAAGAGATCGACGAACCTGTTGGAATGCATAAAAAAACGCTCGGCTGGCTACTGAGTACAATGGGAACAGACGGGCAATTAGGCGAGAACTAAATCGGAGCCTATGTGCTGACCACTCGGGCTAAAGAAATGGAGGAGGCAGAAGCAGTATGCAATAATCGCAAGCTCTTCCACCTGAGAAACACCACCGATCCAAGGAAACCAGGCGTCAGTGAAATAATCAGAGGGCACGGGTGCAGCGACACACAATAAGGAGCACCGTATGGCTGGTTGGGCGGAAGCCTTTCAAGATTAGTCCAGCTGACCCCTTCTCCCGGTCCTCTTCCTACTCAGGTGAAACAGGACGAGCCATGGACGGTTAATTTAGAGCCTCCGTAGGAGGCCGAGGTTCGAAACGCGATCACAGCCCTCAGTCGTTTTCGTGCCGCTTGCCAGGATTCCTTCCCACCTGCACTACTTAAAGATGGAGGTGAGATCCTCTGCAAAGCACTGACCTCCCTATTCGAACGCATCTGGAAGGAAGAGAGCGTCCCGGCTAACTGTAGCAAAAGGAATATAGTGGCAACCTACAAGAAGAGCCGTCGCACAGACTGTTCTAACCCCGGGAATATGAGCCTAACGCCAGTCGTGACAAAAGTACTGGCCTCCATTCTTGCTTGTCGCCTCACTGTGGAACGGGAATCTCGGATTGGGGAAGAGTAGGTCGGTTTCCATCCAAGACGTGGCGGTATATACCATGTATTCACTTTGCGGCAGGTGATAGAACAGCGCCATACATACCGCAGACCGACAATAGCTGTGTTTCTAGACTTCAAGAGTGCGTTCGATTCAGTCGATCGATGAATTCTGTTCGAAATACTTGCGCAGAAAGGTGTTCACAAAAAATATGTGAACATCCTTCGTGCTCTATACCCGAACACTACAGGCCGCGTCAGAGTCCACGGCGACCTGTCGGATAGCTTTCTGACGACAAGTGGCGTTCCTCAAGGATGTCACCTTTCCCCCTGTTTGTTCAACTTCGTCGTAGGGTCTATCATGGAGTGTACCCTTGCGGAATCTCACGATGTAGGCGTTGAAGTGCGGCCTGGTGAAAGATTAGTTGATCTTGATTACGCGGACGATATCCTCTTGCTTTTCGACGAGGTTGCGGCGGCACTATCAACCCTGAATAGCCTGTCCAGAGTGGTCTCATTATTTGGTATGCGCTTCACACCTTCAAAGTGCAAAGTGTTGCTGCAGGACCACCAGCCACTTTATGACTTCTTGACCGTCGCCAACGAGGAACTCGAGGTGGTTGATCAATTCACTTATCTTGACAGCTGCATCAGCAACGATGGGCGCATAGTCACTGACGTCCGCTCACGCGTTTCAAAGGCCAGAGCTGCCTTCTTGAACCTGCGGCATCTTTGGCGATAGAAGGGAATTTCACTCCGTCTGGAAGGCCGTGTATACAAAGCCACAGTGAGGGCCGTTCTGATCTGTGGTAGTGAGACTTGGCCCGTTCGGTCCGAAGATCTGAGGCGCCTTCAAGTCTTTGATCATTGGTGTCTGCGAAGCATTGCTGGTTTCGGATGGCACCAGCGTGTCCGCAACGATGATGTGCGTAGGCGAATACTAGGTACTGATAATCATGCTAGCTCCCTAGAACAACAGATATCACTGAATAAGTTGCGTTGGATCGGGCACGTGCCTGGTCACCCCTTACCTAGAAGGGCCTTGTTTAGTCTGCCAGATGTGGGGTGACGCAAGGCTCGAGGTGGACAGAAGTTGACTTGGCAAGCGAAAAATGAAGCTACTAACGATCAAACTTGTTACCGCCAGTCCATCTCGCTTTCCAATCTGGAGTCCACTTGACTCGCTTTGTGCTTGGCTCGAGATTTTACAGGAGATGGCTCGCAGTCGACACCAGTGGCGAGTCTGCTGCCGTCTCCGAGTCGGATTGCCTGTTTAAAGTGTGTTTAGTGCTGGATTATCTGAGGGGTAATGGCTGATTATGACGCGTGGCAGTGAAAGCCGCAAGGAAGCTGTCTCGCCAATGCCGCCTTATCTTTGCACGATAGCCAGCTGTTTGTGACGGTATGTTGTTAACACAAGGTGCAGGCGCCTTGACCCTGAATGTTTGCTTAGGGCATAAAGGTTTTCAAATAAGTCTTTTCTCTCCCTCTTATTATTCTCTATTTCATAGGGCATCATGGTTGGATGGCAGCGAAGCACCAGTTCAAATGGCTGATGTATTGCTGTTGTTGTTGATGATGATAATGATCGATAGACCTGAAAGCACAACAGAACAGATGATTCAGTGTTGAAGTCGCTGCACCAAGAAGATCCACTGAAAATGCCAGTAAACGTTGGCACATATAATCAGATCTCAACAGATGGGGAAACTAAGGTTTATGTAAACTGAATGTATCAGGCTATGGGCACCGAAGGAAGGAGGAACACCACAGTTATTGTGTTGCAGTACAAAGCAACTAGATGATTGTAAAAAAAAAAGGGCCGCGAAAGCAAGTAGTATGACATTTCGTTTTTATCATGAGTCAGTAATGAGATCGTGATTGGAAGGGAAGGCTAAGCAGGATATGGAGGGACAAAGAAAGTCCTAACACAAACCCCATTGAGGTGGACTGTTGGCCATATCAAAAGAAGTATCCAACCAGACGTGTTTATCGTCGGTCGGACTCAAACAAAGGAGCTGGAGGGCACCAAATGAAACCAAGGGCGTCCATACTTGTTGACCAACTCATCGGTTGGCATCTCCTCTTTTGGCATCCACAGCCCAGTCGCGCAAACACTTCACATCGCAAGAGTCGATGTGAGTTGACATGTGTAACACAT